GAAGGGGTCTTAGAACATGCCCTGGGGAGCTCTTGAGTTCTGTATTTGGGATAGCTCAGCATCCAAGTTAGTTAGCTCTTTCCTGTTGCTTTTTGAAATTGAAGCCTGTTTCTAATGATCTGCGCATGGTAATCTGAAAAATAAGAATTTTAATCTCCTATTTATCTTGTAATTTTTTTTTTTTGCATGATACTTTACCTTTGTATAATCTTCACCCCCAGAGAAAAAGCATAGTAGTAAAAGAAAAGGAATGTGAATAAAAAAAAAAGAAAAAAAAAAAAAAAAGGACTATCTTCAAGTATTCCACTGAAGATAAAGATATTCTGCTCTTTAAGCACAAGCATTAGTTTCCTGAGTACTGCTTGATTAAGCACATTTATCATGCAGAATCAGAAAATACTAATTTCTGGCCTAAAACTGGGAATCTTGGTTTCCTCAGAAATGTTATCCTCCCTCAGCGCTAGGGCACATCCTCCAGCAGGCTTTGCGGTAGAAATAAAGACCACATCAAATTATCTTGAAAACCTTTGTCTCATTTTTAAGCAACCAAGCAACTACAAAGTGTTTCATTTACAGTTTGAAATGTAAATAATCCCATCCTCTATGTGTGTGTTAGTCATAAAGGGCTACTGGTCTGCTAGTTTGAGGCTGTGCCTTCCTTCAGCAGAAAGTGAGTCCAAATGTATTCTGTAATGAAAGGATTGTAAATACTGATGTTTTTCATGAGACTGTTTAAAAATGGCACTGTGCTTGGGGTTTGGAAAGGGTGAGAACTAAAGACAAGGGTATATCCAGCCTGTCCTTGCTGGTCTGAAATTCATGAGCTTTGTAAATCAAACTCGGCTCTCAAAGGTTATAAAATAGGTATCAATAAACACTGAGGCAGGCCTGTGGGGGAGAACAAAGTGCAATACAGAATGGGAGGAAAACGATGGGAACGCTTAGTGTGGCTGGGGAATCCTGAAAAGGGTGACAGAATTAGGCCAGGAGGGCCAGGGCTCATTTGGCTTTCTGCAGGGAGAGGCAGGATGGTCGGTGATGGCCATGATCATTTATTGGTATGTTAGTAAATTCTCCTGTGTTTTTAACCTTCCTGTAGAAAATAAAGATAATCCACTTAGCAGCGTGTGTAATACCGAGCCAAACTGCGAAGTTGTGCAATGCAGCTAAGTATTTCTTAGAAGGAAGACTATTTCAAAACCAGTGTTGTGAAATTAGTTATTTCTTAACCTTGAAAGTCCAGAATTTAGATAACTCGTGCAAGATTTTTTGCATACGAGATACACACTTGGATCCAGCTTTACCTTGCTGACTGGGGAAGAAGACAGTGGCCTCTGGTTTGCATTAGTTGTAAAAAATCCTGGGTATTGGTAAGGGTTACTGAATTGACATCTTTGAAAAGATATTCACAGGTACTTCTGTGAAGTAAAGATGGCAGTCTCCTTCCCTCTGTTGGTCTTTCAGCTTCTCCCACTGCAGGGCTAGTGTTCTGCATTTTTTAGAGGGTGGACCAGTGCACTTTGCCTGTGTCACTGGGCATCAAAGACAATGTGAGAGACACGTTTTTGATCTTGGTAATAGTCAGTATATGCCATTGCAACTCTGTGCTTTCATAATTCATGCTAATATTACTTATTAGCAGTTTTGCAGCCTGAAATTTTTCCAGCAGCTTTGATTTTCTGTCCTGTGAGAGAGCAGGAAGTTGGCTCTAGCTGTTTCTCGGCCTGTGCATTAAAATTATAAATGTGAATGGGAACGTTCACAGCTCTGAGCTTCCAGCTGTGCTGTGACAAACTGACAGGAGCTCTGTTGAGGTTGTTTCCTCTTCTAGAGTTGCCCTGTTTTTAGCCACCATAGGCACAAGCATTGTGGAAAACTCATGCAGGTAATGTATGTTATTTTGCTCCCTTTCATCATTATATATTGATGTAAAATCATCACCAGAGTGTGTAAACTAAAATTACTGATTTAAATTTACCTCAGAAAGCTGTTAACGGTTTTACAGAAAGGCAAGCCTGTGGTCACTTTTAATTAAAGTATGTAACCAGGCATTTCAGGTTTCTTTTACTTTTTCAGAGTTCCTATTTTCAAGCAAATTGCGGCTCGTTTTTTGGAGTAAAACTTGAAACATTAGGAGACCTAACTTTTCAGAAATGCAAAGCACTCAGATCTAATCAAAGCCAGTGAACACTAATGGAACTGAGTTAATTTGGAAATCAGGCCATTGTCTGGGCCTTTTTTTTTTTTGGTTTTTCCTTTTTCTACCCCTAATGTTACGTAAAAAGAGGTTCATATTAGATTATGGATGACTTCCCATTAGATGTCAGTGAAGGATAATTTTTAGCACAGGGAAGGGAGGGGTAAGGGAGAGTAATTAAATTGAAGGCTAAATTAAAGGACAAGGTCCTGAGTGCATTTTCATCTCTATTTAAAGTAATAGAAATGAGAACAAAGTGGCTCTTGCACAACTGGGCATGAAGCATTCACTGTAGTGTGTTTCACCCCTTTTTATAACATGCAAAATTTTAGCATAGATCAACAAATAATGTCCCACTTAATAAGTCAGACTTATTAATTTGAAAAAAAAGGACCTGTCTTGCAAGCCTGTACAGTAGGAATGAAATCAGATTTCCACTTTGTATGGCCAGAGCAGTTTTCAGTCCACACAGCAAAGCGGGTGCTAAGCAATCCAGCCAGACTTTTCGTCTTCTTCAACAGATACTGTCGTTTGTTCCAGGTTTTGTTGTGCTTTTGCATTTTCTGAGGAAGGGGGGAGCTAGGCTAGGAATGTAACTGTGTGGCTGTAGGGGAAACTCAGGGTTTTTTCCTTTAGTAGGGCTTGGATTTGCTAGTCCTGTTTTAAAAGTTCAGAAAACTTACAGGACTTCAGAACTAATCTGGAGTCATCTCTCTGCCATGTGGTGTAGTACATAACTTACAGCTTATAGATGTCCTGGCTGTCTCTTTTAGAAAAACAAACAAACAAACCAAAACATATTTAACAGGGAATTATTACATGGAGTCTTTTCAGTAACTAAAGGTAGCGGGAAATAAAGAATTAGCAGTGTGTAGAAATAATGGCTCGAAGATCTTTCTTCATAGTGCTGTTTTCCCCCATAAATTTCTATTAAAGTTGCCGAACTGCCTTGAACTTAATCACTGAACTGCTGTTTGCTTTTAAACACTCACCTGTAAAGCTGTGTCTTTGAACAGAGTATGTTTATGTGATACCTTGTAACTTCGATGAGGGCTTTTTAACTTTCTGAAGAGCAAAATGTGGAATCGGTTATGTATGATGATAAACAGGAAGGGTGAACGACAGACAAACATGCCTAGTCAGCTTAACTGATAATATAATGCCTTAAAAAACCAAAATTATATACATGATTTGCTACAAACAATTGGATCTGAGCTGAGCTGCTTACCGAGATGACAACAACAAAAAAAAACCAACCCCTCAAAAAATAATTCATGTCACAGGTTCAGTTTGAGCAAGTTGTGGTCTTGTACGGGTCTTTCTCTTAGTAAAAAGACAAAAGATTTATAGGAGCAGATGAGATATTTAAATCTTTTAATCTTGCCTGTGGTCATTTAGCAAAGCAGGTGTAAACACTTCAGTTGTAGTTGCCCATTGTGTACTCAGCCATGTTACTTCTGCATTTGTTTCAGGTCTGCTGGGCTGTGCTTTCCAGAGGTTCCAACTTGCCTTTGCTTGCTTAAACCCAGGACCTCTCCTTCCCAGAAGCTTGATTGTGCTTGGACATGCCCCTTGTAGCTTCATCCTAGTCTTTTTGATTCTGTGTTCCTCAAGTACTGGCCCCTTCTTCTTTAATGCTACTAATGATTTTGTAACCTTTGCTTGCCCTCTTGCTGGATCACCCCTGGGTGTTGTGACTGTCTTGGATTGTGGCATGTCTCTTGGTGGTGCTGTGGTGGTCTCCCAGGCAGTGGCACAGTGAAAATCCATTATCTTCTGTGCCCTGCTGCAAAGGACGGTGTGCTTTTCTCACCACCACGCTGCCCTGAGTGTACACAGCCCTCCAAAGTTATCTCTAATCTAGTAAGTGATCAACGCACTCACTTCTTCTGGTAGGTGCCTAATAAGCCTTCACCTAGGAGTGGCTGTAGGAAGGCAGGAGCAGTGGAGACTTGTGGAAGATGATGTAGAAAACAGTGAACAGGTTTGTTGATTGTTGTGGACAGGCCTTTCTGGGCCTGGCAGAATGGGGTGACTCAGACAGAGTGACTTTCACAGAACTGCCCAGGACTTTCACTAGTTAAGTGTTTTCTCCCTTTTTGTATGCAGTGCATTAGCTCTTCATTTCTGTAGATGTGTTTCTTTCTACCCTACACACCTTGAGTGCATTGGTAGCATTAGAAAACTTTGCTAAAGTACTTGTGTAGTATCCCAAGGATGGGAGACACAGCAGGCTTGTGTAACCAGTGCTTAGGATTAATGCTGCACTTCTCATGCATCCTTTGCTCTCTGAACTTAAACTACAGTCAAATTTTGTGCATCAAACATAATTGAAGATTCAGAATATTTATACTTGGCATTCCAGATTGAAATGACTCCTTTCAATTGCTGCCTATTTGCCATTTAATGTCTTGTTTTCAAAAGTATTATTTTCATCAATTAATGTATTTTTTTAATCCAAATTAAGCTATGCAGACAGCTGTAGAAGTACTGCAAGATCAGGGCTATTTTTGGCAGTATTGGGTTTGCTTTTTCTTCTGCTTCTTACTCCCCTCCTCTCTCTGCAGCATCGCTCGTCTCTCCCTCGAAACAGAAGAATGCGCTCGGTCGCGCCTCTCAGCAGCTCTGCAGCCTGTGGAGAGTGTGGGCAGTTTCTGTATGCAGCATCCTGGAAAATGTGCATTCTCTTGAAGTGATCTGCCGGAAAGCACGTACTTGGACAGTTGTTCCAGCCTGCGCTGTTGCACTGCTCTCAGGGTCTGAGATGCCCGCTCTCTGATACTCCCCGGGATTCGCGTTTCGCCTGCCAAAGAGACTCCACCTGCCGCGCTTGTCTGGAGAACCCCGCAGAGCAAGGACGCTGAAAATGGCTCTGTGTGCTTTCTATGCCCTTTGGGGTTTGCTGCTAGAAGTGGCAATATCGTTTGGTCCAGTCCCCAGGATCACTTGGGAGCACAGAGGTAAGAACAGCAGATGAAGTCGTGTAATATGGGGACATTTCCACAACTTCAGGGTCTCTGTGGGATCTGAAACTCACTGAAGCCCTCTGTACCTTCAGCCTGTTTGCTGTGGGTTTGGTAAGGTGTTGCTGGCTTTGCTCTGTTTATGAAGTGCTTAGGACCAGAATATTCAAAAATTACTTGGGCACCGGGTTAACTGATTTCAGGTCCTTTGAGCATCTCTGAAAACAGAGCTTTTTAAAGGAGGAATTCCACATTTGACTTTCTCAGCAGAAGGGTCTTGCAGCTGAAGTTTGCTTCCAGAGAAAAACCCAATAGGTGTATTTTGTTTAAAACAAATTACCTTCACTCTGAGTCTGAACATGTTAGCGAAGTGCACCTCTCCAGCTAATAATCTTTTTTATGCTTTTTCAGGCTGAGATGTATTTTGACACCAAGCCAACCTGTGCACTAAGTAAATCACCAGGCAAAGGAAAAATAGGCCTTTGACCCTCTTCTGCCAGCATTATCTGGTGCTTAGATACAAAACAGTCTGTCACAGAACACCGATTTTCTTGTATAAAAGTTGCAGCAAATATTCATAACCTCCCAATACAGTTACAGGGGTCTGCAAATGTGGTGCCAGAAGTAATAGGAATCAGAGAATCATTTAGCCTTTGACTTAATAATTTAACCTGAGTCTAAAAAGAACTCTGAAATGAGGGCTGTAGAGTAGTTATTTGCTGCTGTTTGTGCATGTATATTTTTTTTCTCCATTTTCTCCCTGCTCCCCTCTCCCCCTCCATGTTTTAGATCCTCTTTAACTATTAGTTAGGAAGCAACAATTGTTCAGTAACTGAACAAAGCCAAACAAATACATTGGCCAAGCGAAGAAGCAACCTCAAAATAAGGGTATTAAATTCTGAACAGTCCTATTATAGGAAAAGATAGATGGAGATTAGGAATGTAGTAGGAATAAGCAGATTATGAAATGACTGTAGGAAGTGTTGGTGTAGCAATTGTTAGTTGCTGATGAAGCTTTTCAGAAAGGGTGGTCTGGACAAGTCTTGGAGTTACTTTGACTCTTTGATGCTCAGATTTTCCATAGCAGTTAAAATTTGGCAAGTTGCTCTAATGTACTGCAGACCCACATCCAAATTAGTGAAAATAAATGGAATTTATTTTCATTCCTGCTAATTCTCTGTGTCTGTCTGCTAAAGATTGTTGCATTAAATATTGGAAACATACTTTGAGTGGGAGAGGGAATTTTCAGTTCAGTGGAGTTGTAGGAACCAGTTCATACACTTAGGGAAAATCTTCTTGCCAGGTAAAAGATTTCAAAATTACATTATTGTGAATCTAGCTTAAAATTAATGTTTCGTGAGTACTCTAGTTGAAAATGTGCAATTTACTAATGTTAGAACTGAGCAATAATGGCATTGTTTTCAACTGTATCTTAAAAAAGCCGTGCCTGATTAATCTTGTGGTAGTCTCATTTTTCCATTATGGTTGTAGATGCAGAAAAAATCCCCATTCTTTTATATTAGTCAGTTTATGTCATCTTTCTCCAAGCTGTTCTGGTCCAGTCTGCAAGCTTCCTCATTCCACTGCCTTTTCTCTCATGTCTCACTCTGTTTCTCATCTTCCTCCTTTTCATCTTGAGTTTTCCCTCACGCTGTTTCCTTCTGTTGTGTGCGTTTCATCTCTGGTTTTCGTTTCACTGTCAGATTATTGACCATCTGTAAATGCTCTCTTTTTAACTTCTGTGCCTTCCTTCTGCTGTGGCAGTATGCTGAAGTGTCCTCTTAAGGTGCAGGATATTTTGTGAGATTTGTTCAGGGCAGTTGCAGGAGATGTGGTGACCAACCTGATTTTCCACAGTAGGTTGGTGGAAAGGAAAAGGTGAGGGAGGACTTGACAGTGGGTATGGAAAATGGAAGTTTAGAAAAAACAGGTAGGAAAAAAAAAATAAAGGAAGAAGTGAGTTACAGGGATCACCACGAGAGGAAATATTTAGGCATTTGACATTGAATGAGAAAGTGTGGACAAGTGGTTTTGATGTTTGTGGTGGGAGCTGCTGTTTCTGCTGAATCAAGCTTCTGAGGGGTCCCTTTTCTTTTTTTACATGGGTTTTCTGAACTAACCTTTGTTGTTTTCAAGTTATCCAACAGCTGTTAGACAACTTAGAAAAAATGACTCATAAGCTTGAACCTAAGTGATTGTGTTTCTTCATGTGGTGCTGTTTTTTTTTTTTTTTTCCATTTCAACAGAGGTCCAGCTAATACATTTTAATGAATCAAAAGTGTCAAACTATTCAACCTTGCTGTTAAGTGAAGACAAAAATGTTCTATATGTAGGAGCCAGGGAAGTGATCTTTGCCTTAAACGCAATGAATATTGCTGAGAAGCAGCACGAGGTATGAATTTTAATACATTATCCCCCATGTGAAAATCATACACCAAATTTGACTTAATTTCCTAATATCAGTAGCATTGCACTTCAGGTAGCAGGTTCCTTAAAGAGAAACCCACAGTGTGGGCTACTCCAGTGTTATTTCTGGAAGATGCTTTAGAGTCAAAGAGAGGATGGAAGGAGAAGTTGCGTATAAACAAGGAATTAGAGGTATCCTCGGGTATTTCTTTCTTGTGGGCAGAATGCTCTACTGGAGGGACTTCAGGTGTCATCTGTAATGGTGGTTCTTACCCCTGTCCTTATTATCAGGAGTGGGGCACATTTTGTTAATCAGAATCAGAAGGTAACCTAACCTGAAGGAGAAGCACAGATGGTGCTTGCTGAGGAGTGGCAGACTGCAGATGTGCTGCAAGTAATGGCCCTGTCCTTTGAGTACGGAGCTTCTGCTTTGTGTCTGGGTGTGTCTGCACAGCAAGAGGTGGTGCAGACAGGTCTGATCCGGCTTGCTCAGAGAAATACCTTGGATGTGCTGACGGTGGCTTCTCAAAGCAGATTAGCCAGGCAGAAGTCTGCTAACGTTGTATCGCTTCCAGTCCTTCCCAGGCTCCTGCTTCTCATCCCATCAAGCAGCAGCACAGGCTGACATGTAGAGGGTGCAGCGTGGAGTCCCACCCAGCATGCTCTGGAAGATGCTCATATGATCTTTAATCTGAAGAACATATTCATGGATGGTGGTGGGAAATGTCACCAGCACATAAAACTTGTTTAATGGGTACATGTAACTGTCAGAATTGTACTCAGGGTAGGGTAAATTGGTCCAATAAGTTTTCTTTGATTCCTCCCCACCCCGGTATGTTTTTTATTCAAGTAATAATGAAATTGAGAAGTATTTAAAATTGAAAAATACCCAAACCAGTTCCAGTTGCATCTCCCTAATGCATATGGTGGTGAAAATTTTATTAGCAATTTGAGGGGAGTCATTGTTATGAACCCAAAAGATATAATAGCAGTAGTTTTGTCCTGGTTAAGGCGCATGAATTCGAAACTTGTCACCTCCCTGGGAAAGAATGGCTTTGAACCTTTGAAAACTACTTGGAAAATAAATGACTTGCATTTGCTGCGGATAGTTTTAGGAATGCCTTTGTGTGTTATTGCAAGGTTTTCAGGTCTTGTATTGAATTAAAGTACTTTGAATGTGCCTTTTTGTTGCTTCTTTTTTTCACTTAGCTACACTGGAAGGCCACAGAAGATAAAAGGACTAAATGCGCAGTCAAGGGCAAATCAGAACAGGTACTTTTATTGAACTTTGACAAAGATGTTCCACACTGCACTTCAAGAGAAGTGATGTTAAAAAAAAAGGAAGTATCCAACTGCTTGAAATTAGATTTTGAAATAATCGCCTGAATGTTTTAAATTAACTTGAGCGTTAGAAACTGCAACATGCCTAGGTTGGTGGCTTTTTGGTTTTGGGTTGGTTTTGGGTGGGTTTTTTAGGGTTTTTTTTTTGTGTTAATAGTTCATTACTTTCTGCTGGTGACTACTATTTAAATGTCTGAAAATCTGAACACATCCTGATGTGTGCTTAGTTTTAATGGTTTTCCACTTAAAACGCTAAACCAGTGTTGCCTTCACTGAAGTAACTGATAGCAACTGCTGCGTTTTTTCATTGCAGTAATTCCTTCCCAGCAGTTGGTTTTACAGAGTGACTGATAACTGTGTTTGCTTTGCTTTAGGGCATAGAGTGTCTGTTATTAGGCCAGGGTATTTTTTTCCTGGATTCTGTGTCCCCTTGTGGCGCTCAGCGGGTGTGCACCTTCCTTGCCCAGACAGCTCCCCTGGCACCTGAGCAGCCTGACCTCCTGAGGCTTGGCAGTGCAGGCAGCTCAGCCCCTGGGATCCCTGGGTGTTTCTAGGAACCACTGGCTCCTGGTGACTGCCAGGGCGCGGTCTGGCTTGCTGATTTTGCCTGTCTGTGGAGGTGGTTTACTCGAGGTAATTGTGGATGTACCTTTCCCCTCCTGTAAAACCACTTCATTTAATGATACGCCAGAGCGAGGGTTTGCTGGGCAGGACAGTCAGTCAGGCTTTTAGCACAGGTTTGAAAGCAGAATCCTGCAAGTTCTGTGAATGCAAAAAGCAGTCCCGCTCTGCCGTTGCAGGGATGTGACCCTTAAACCTGCAGCCTCTTCATTTCTCACTCTTATAAAACCCCAAGTGCTGCATCCAGGGCTGACAGGCATTCTGCCTTCACGGGCTGTCAGTACATTGTCCAAACATGTGGTGTGGCAGATACTTAAGGGCTGTTTCCTCCTTGGCTGCCTCTTCAGGATGGGGTTAGAAAATGTAATTTGTGTTTTTCAGGTTCAGCTGGGGTTGCTAGTAATAATACTGACTAGCAGCCATGATGAATGTGAGATGTGAGCTTCTCTTATGTGCATATGTTTAGCCAGCTGTGTGTGAATGTCCACAAGTCCTCTGCAGAGATTACTGGTAGGGTATGCTAGACCCCATAAATAGGTTCCTTCTCAGAGCTCTAAATTTATTTTCTTTGTTTTCCCCTGTCGCCAGTTTAGCAACTCACACATATTGCTGGCCATGCTTTTTCCTCACTGTACTCCTAACCTTTTAGTAGTCACATTCATTGTAGCCACGATGTTTTGCATAGTGCAATAGTTTCAAAAGGGTCGAGGTTTTAAGGCACTATTACTGTTTCTTACACTCTCCCCCATCCATCACCACTATGCTGTGTAATGCCAGCAGAAGGCATTCATGCAGTTGTTCAAGGACCTCATCAGGCACAAAACTGGTTTTATTCTTTTCCCCTCCCTGCAGTTTCCTGCCATGCAGTCACAGGAATACCCAGTTTGTCTCATAAGAAGGGATAGAAGGCCAGTGCTTAAGCTTGTTTAAGGAGTTTATGGAACAGCAGTTCAGTGGTGGCGTCTGGCAGTATACCAGCAAGAATTAAGGGATGTTGTTGATACTGGCTTTTCCCCCCTCTCTAAGTGGGTGTTTGGAGTTGTTTTTCTTCATTGTTAATCTGAGTCTTTATGGTATCCTTTATTAAGGGTTTTGCTCAAACTCCTTGTTCTGCTTCAGAGCCAAAGAAATTAAGAAGATTTCTTGGATGATATCAAAGACTGGGGGAGGGGGGTGAGGGGGAGTGGTGGCAGGGCATGGAAGGACAACAATAAACGACAAAGCTTCATACCTAATTTAGGGGAATTACAGGTTTTGCTCCTTAGAAACAACCTTGACTGTCACTGTATTGTTTAGGTGTACAAGGGATGGTGAAATCTAAAACTTACTTCGTGTTTAAGTAGTTTTTCCCGTGGATTGGATGTGTGTTTGGAGCTTGTGCTTTTGTAAAACATCTTGAGATGGTCATGCTACCCTGATAGGATACCGAGGCAGCTGCACTCGACTGTCTGTAGGAAACCAAACGCTGCAGGATTGATTTAGAGCTCCTGGAGGTTGCAGGGAGATGGATGGGTAGCCCAGTGTCACCCACACGTCACCCAGGCATTACTGGGGTGCGTGGCAGCAGACAAGCTGATAGATTGTTTGTGTTGGAATGTGGAAGCCATGGTTTATCAGACGTGTTCTTTCCTCGTCCTCTCTTACAGACGGAGTGTCGTAACTACGTGCGTGTCTTGCAGCAGCTGAATGATACTTTTCTCTACGTGTGTGGAACTAATGCATTTCAGCCAACGTGTGATTACGTGGTAAGAGATCTACCTATGCTTTGACCCAGCAACAACTGTAACTTTAGAGCAGCTCAAGTGAAAGACAAGGTGATCTCCATTCCCAAAACTGTTATGTCTTCAGATCAGGTTTGGGAGCATTTATTGCACTGTCTCGCAATAGAATATGGAAATAAACTGTGCTGTTGCCTTTTTTCAGAGCACTTAATGAATTCCTGATTCGTCTTGCCTAACTTGCAGATTTACTTTTTCATAATCCTTTGTGTATTGTGCGTTAGCGTAAAACCAGTTTCTGAAACTGAAATCACGTTGTTTGCAACTTCCACCCCATTACCAAATCTTCCCGAAATTTCCCAGATTCCTGTCTCTGCTTGTCTCGTCTCTGCTTCTGGCTACGCTACAGATTCACGGTGCTGAATGCTTCAGACTGAGGTCTTGGCACAGAATTAAAACTCCCTTTTCTCGCTGCTGACTCTTGTATCGTTTTCCCTGCTGCGGCTCTTAGCAATTTGAAAATCGAGAAATCTTGTAGTTGTGCCTTTCTGTCTCCCCTGCTTGCAGAGTCTGCCAGCCATCACCTCTGGAGTATTGCCAGGAGACACTGTTCTTAGCTTCCAATGTCTCCAGTGCACAGTGTAGCTGATTACTTGCCCAGTGCTGTGGCTACAGTTCATCATCTTTCTGATCCTCATTCGCTTGGTTTTTAAGGGATTTATAAAGTAGCAGCCAAAAAACTCTGTTGCTTTTTAAAGCCTTAGTTGGATTATGCCCTATCTTACAAATTTACCATAATCTCGAAAATTGCTAAATCCACTTCAGAAAGCCTTCTTGATTTCTAAGACTCTTTTTTTTTTCAGGCTAATTCAATAATTGGCAGTTCTTTCCATATATCAGTTAACTTCCCTGCTGTTCCTTGGGTGTCTTTCCTGAGGTTTGTCTTGATTTAACTTTTCATCTTCTGCTCTTTTCTGTTCCTGGCTTCACAAATTACAGGATCACATTTCTTCTCTGTCTGTGGGACTTGATAAGATTTTCCAAAAACACATATGCCTTTTATAATTCTACACAAAATGTCTTTGATGCTGGAAGTTGATGATACAGCCCAATAGTTAGTGTTTAGTTTTGAGTTAGCTTTGAATGAGTTGAGTGGCTGAAAGAAGAAGGAGTGCTAAGAGTTGTTTTGTCGTTTTCAACTTGATTTTTTTTTTTTTTTTTTGCAGAACTTAACTTCATTTGAACTTGGAGGTAAAAATGAGGATGGTAAGGGTAGGTGTCCGTTTGATCCTGCTCAAAGCTACACATCTGTTATGGTTGGTAAGTTCAACCTTTGCATACCTCGTTCTTATGTATAAAAATGTTCTGTCTTTTCCACTCTCATGCTCCAGTTTGTCAAAATGGTAGCTTGCATCCATATTTTTTTTCTTTTCTATGTATCTGTAAAGATGTTAAAATACTTACTTAGTCAGCCTTTGCATGTTTTTTTAAAGGAGAACTTCAAACTCTTGGTTGTTTCGGAAGCAACCTGTAAAATACTAATTTTCAAACTGTATTTCCAGGTGTTCAACATATTTAGTCCAGGTAGTCTAAATGTACCTGGCTGCATTTGTAGTATCAATTAATGCAATTTCAGTAAATTTAATGAGTAGTGCTTCTTAGCTGTCCTGAAGACTTATCCATGAGACAGAATAGAGAAGGAAGATTCTGATTGCAGGTGGACTTACTACATAGAAGGACACCCCTGAACCTGGACCTGGGTAAACCAGAGCTGATGGATTTACCGTTGTGTCACAAGACCATGAGAGAAGCTCAGCACAGGATGACACAGGAAATGGGGAACACAACTCCCCGCACTGTGCCTGCATTTTTAGAAGTTGATTTTGTATCATGGTGGCAAAGAAAGAGAGAGAAAAATAATTCCAAACTTCTGATGCATTAAAGTAAATTTGCATGTTTTTACATGAACTGTGGGTTTACGTGTTAAGCGTTAAAGTAGCACAAAAACTACTCTTTTTTACTTTTGTCAGTTCTTGTGTTAAAGCAACAACAAACCAAACTGTGTAAAGTGTTAGGCTTCATCACAACCAGCAGAAATGTAAATATAAAATACGTGTCTAGGGCAATTTAGAGGAAGTCCTTGTTTATCTTTTCTTGTGGGAAGCTTAAGCTTACACAGACTCAGAAAATATTTATGTACCCTTTTTGGTGTCCACTCCATACGATCTAAAATATTTGGTTTTGTGTTAAAGACGAGGAGCTTTATTCTGGGACTTCTTACAATTTCTTGGGAAGTGAACCCATTATTTCACGGCACTCTCATCAGAGCCCTCTGAGAACAGAGTATGCAATACCTTGGCTTAATGGTAAGTGGGCATGACAACTGGCCCAGATAAATTTCTTTCTTCAACACCACACTGACAAGAGTTTTCCTGGGTGTAAAGAGCAATGGCCTAACTGAAAGAATGGATTTTGTTGTCCTGGCATGTGAGTGTGTGCCCTCGTGCATGCCATCAAGAGATGTAGCTTTGAAATTTTAGGGTTTTTATCTGCATTGACAATGAAAACAGCTTCAAGATATTACTCTGGACATTGATGGCTGCAGTTGAAATATTCTGTATTTACTTGTTGTTCTTTGCAGTAATGCAGCTTAGTTATGATACAGTAAAGGAAGGCAGTGTTTTTGGATTGGGATGGGTTTTCAGATTAAGCTGACCGTGGTTCCTGATGCTTTCAGTTCCTGAATTTCAGAATTCACTGAGCTTTGTGACCGTTCAGAGGTTTGAGGCTTTGTGCCAAAAAGGACCAAAATCACAACCAAAAATCATAACCAAAAAGTACAGGGTAGTGAGATTTGTGATACATGTTGTAAGGTCATTTTTAGTCTTTCAGCTAGTAGCTGAAGTAGAGGGGAGGCGGGCAAGGGAGGGCATGTCCTCCAGGCCCATTAGAAAACCATTAAAAAAGTTTGAGTATGGGCTGAAGAACATTGTGGTGCAATAATCATCTCATTACTGCAGAGATCTCTGAGGTATCTTAGGGCTTTCATTTAGGATTTGTGGGTTTTGGGAGTCTTTTGCTATTCCTGGTTGGTTTTTTTTTTGTTTGTTTGTTTTATTTTTAAGAAATACTATTCATGTTGTGAAAAACAAACTGTGTATGGAGGTCAGTGACTAGAGAGCAGATAAATGCAGTGGGGAATTTGGGTGAAAGGGAACTCCTAGAGGGTCTTTGAGGGAATCAGGTTAGTAGTCTCTTTTATAATGGAAAATTCTTCTCTTTGTGTCTGTAGAGCCCAATTTTGTTTTTGCTGATGTGATAAGAGCAGATCAAAACGGCACAGATGGAGAAGATGACAAGATATACTTCTTCTTCACCGAGGTGTCTGTGGAGTATGAGTGTATTGGAAAACTGATGATTCCAAGAATAGCTAGGGTCTGCAAGGTGGGAGAAAGTTCAATTTACTATTACTATGTCAACTAGAATTTTGTGTATGGGTGTTAAAAAGCATTTATTATTGTGAACTTACTGCCAGTTAATTGGAAGTGGTTGAATTTAGTGAATCTTAGTGAATCAGCAGTTCCAGTCAGTTCTTCAGAACTGGGAGAGCCTGATGGGTTGCTTTGTGAATAAGTACTTGATTTAATTTTGCACAGTAATGAAATTTCAATACATCTGGGGGTTCTCCTCTTCTCTGAGGGGAAAACAAACCAACCATGACAAAACCCAGCAACAGAGAAGGTGTCTCCCTAGGGTTTCTTTTTTTTTTAATTTTTTTTTTTTCTGACAAGTGACTTTCAAGCGTCTGTATGCAAACAGAACTGTATCTGTGTCCACAGCAAAATAGTTCTTGACTGTGGTACAGCAGATGAGGCTTCTGTGAAGCTCTTGGCAGCTGCCAGAGCCTGAAGGAAAATGGTCACCAGCAGCCTGATTGTGTCACACTTGCTGTGCTTAAACCTCAGTGTGTTGGGCTGATTTGAGTATTTTCTCAGGAGTGCTGGTTGAAAATCTTGCTGATTTAAGTTTTTTTTCCAGTATAAGATGTTGGTTTAGCAAAAACTTTTTCGGTGGAATGTATCAATTTCCTCAAGATTTCCCCCCCCCCCCCCCCAACAGGAAATTTATCTGCCTGTTGCATTTCTATGAGGTTGAAAGTTTTATTTTGACTTTGCTGTTTTATGTTTAAACATGGAAGTCAAAACATAAATAAAAAGTTAGTGCCCTTGGGGTTTCTGTTGAACAAGGAGCTGGAGGCAGGTTTATGTTGGGCTTTTCATGGCCCTTTACCCACTGACAGCTTGTGCATGCTTTAAAAGGGGACTAATATGGAATATGAGAACTTCATTATTACATTGTTATATATTTCAGACTGTTCTCCTCGAAATAGGAATCAGTGGCATGTTGCAAATCCATAAGCATTTATACTTAATTTTTCTAATAAATTTTGCGGATTTCCTTTAATACTTTGCATAACACCCTTGGATAATGAATGGGAATTATTAATACAGTTTCAATATGCCCTGCTTTTTGAAGTGGAGTATTACATCTACAGATTGATCATCAAATATTTTGGAACATTTCTTGTCAATATATCTTAACTTCTTTAAGTCTTGGTACTGCAAATCCCGAATAAAGGTGTTAACAGCTAGCAGGATGAAACCATTGCTGCATTTCTTCTAGTGAAATTATCAGTGTCAAGTTTGGTTCTTCATTAACTCGCGTATTCCATCTTGCCTATATATTGTGATAGAAACAACTCTGCATTATTTTTGTTGAATCAGTTTTCCTGTGGCTTTCTTACTGTTCTGTTTATGAATGTGTTAGCATTTATTGATGTTGTATAGATGAAATGTTAGAAAACAACAGAGCTTAGTAGTTTCATGCTATAACAGTGTTCTTAAATGCAAAAATGCTGCTAGTTCTCCTCACAAACACTTTTTTTTTTTTTTTTTTTTTTCTGATATCACAAGAGGGACCAAGGAGGATTAAGGATCTTGCAGAAAAAATGGACGTCCTTTCTCAAGGCCAGGCTGATTTGTACCATCCCTGACAAGAATTTAGTTTTCAATGTTATCAATGGTGTTTTTATTCTCAAGTCTCCAACTCTGAAGGAACCAGTGATATATGGAGTCTTCACCCCACAACTGTAAGTGTGGCATAGCCTTTTCCTGGATTAGTACCTTCAGTATCACTTACTACAAGAACTAATAACTGCTCCTGTGGGGTTTTTTTTTGGGGGGGAGGGTGTTGTTTCCTTTCTTATATCTCTTCCTGAACTTCTAGGAATAACGTGGGGTTGTCAGCAGTGTGTGCATACAGTCTGTCCACTGTGGAAGAGGTTTTCTCAAAGGGAAAATACATGCAGAGTGCTATCGTGGAACAGGCTCATACAAAGTGGGTCCAATACAATGGGGAAATTCCTAATCCTCGGCCTGGGGCGGTAAGTTTGTGTAATCTTGGATCTGATGGCTTTTGTTTAATGCTCAAAAGTAAAGAGACTAAAAAACATTAGGTTTTTGAATTATTTGTTTGCCCTACCTGGTTTACTTCTTGTTGCAAAGACTGTACAAAAACAGCGAAGTGGTGTGTCCTGAACTTTGTACCCGGGAAACAAAGTGTTTCTTTTTAATTTAGAATTATTTGCTGGGTTTGGATATTAATTATTTTATTAGTAATATTCTGGTGGTGAAACAGAACTCGGTGTACACCAGCAACATCGAATACTTATGAGCTCAAATGAACAAAAATATAGCAACTGTTGCATTGTCTCTGTCGGTTCAGCATGTTTATCCAAGGCAGTTCTTTGCTTTGCAAACTAAAATATTCATAGTGCTTGGTCTCCTTCAGGCTTTTCTTAACTTCCCTTATGTTCCTTACAGTCATCTTGTTGTTAATGCTCAATGAGGTGATGTCTAAAAGCAGTTAAAATGCATGAGAGTTACAGAAGGAGTATTTTCCTAGAAGGTATTCTGAGACCAAACAAAAATGTAGTCCAAGGCTCAGGGATTAGTACACCAGAGAAGCCAGAGTGTTAGGAGACCTGAGGACCTGCCCCTGTGGAATAAGTGCAGTGTAAAGGTGTGCTTACAGGCCAAAGTGATACAGAGAAGAAAATGCACACAGCTGCATCTTTTTTTTTTTTTTTCTTTTTTTTTTTTTTTTTTTTTTTTTTTTTTTTTTTTTTTTTTTTTTTTTTTTTTTTTTTTTTTTTTTTTTTTTTCTTTTTTTTTTTTTTTTTTTAACAAGTAAATGATATAATTTGATTGTCTGTTCCGTTTTGGTTTTATTTCCTCCCCACTCCCTGTCCTCTTGCTAGTGTATAAACAACGACGCCAGAGGATCAAGCTACATGAGCTCGCTGAATTTGCCAGACAAGACACTGCAGTTTGTTAGAGACCATCCTCTGATGGATGACTCAGTGACCCCCATGGGAGGCAGACCTCGGCTGGTGAAGCAAGACGTGAAGTACACACAGATTGTAGTGGACAGAGTCAGAGCACTCAATGGCACCACGTATGACGTGATGTTCATCGGTACTGGTGAGTTCTGCAAAGAATGGTACACTGATTCTTCAGCTCTCAAAGAGAAACTCTTGAAATTTCTGTATTTACAGCGCTTGTACAGCTGGTGTTTCCATGAAAAGGTGCCACGGTAAGTGGGCAGTCTTAACGTACCTTGAAGAGGCATTGCAGGAAAAGATACTGCAAAGCTGCTGAGTGCAGCAAAAACACACAGAAAACAACCCATAAGTGGTCACTTTGGGTACCAAAGTGCCCCTGCTGATGGCAAATTTAATAGTTGCCTTTGACACAGAGTTTATATGAAGTCTTCATCTGAACAGCAGGCAGGTTACTGACAGAGCAATTTTGCAGGTGTTTATCCTGCCTTTTTGTTTTAAGGATCTTACTTAAACATATTGCTCTGTTGTTTCAGATCGGGGAGCCGTGCACAAAGCCATCAGCTACGAAAATGGAATGCACATTATTGAAGAAACGCAGTTTTTTCCAAGTTTTGAACCGATCCAGACTCTCTTGCTTTCATCCAAAACAGTAAGTGCTGTGAGCGTCGCAGCATTCATCTCATGTTGTTCTTTCCCGGAACTTTTTAGTGCCACTGCATAACCCTGTGATGGGAGACCTCCCCAAAAGCTGCATATGTAACTCACAGCACTGCAGCCTGCTGCGTTTCAGCCTGTTTGTTAGGTGCCAAGCTTCTTGAACGTGTGTGGACATGGGGAAGGGGCGGGAGGGGAGGCATGATTTCACTTTGATTCCTTGTGCAGAAGCTGAAAGCCTTGCAAGGGTGTTTCAAAATCCTGGTTGGGAGCAATGTAAAACATCCCGACCTCTGGTGGCCACTGCAGGTCTGTGAGGAAAAATCCTGTGGGTAAAGGGAGCAGAGGAGTGGTGGTGGTGTGTGGTTCTGAGGAAACAGACCTAAGCAGAGAGCAACAGTGTTGTCTAGCACAGAGGACTGATAATTGTGTGACTGACTGGTTTCTGCTGTCTCAGATGTCTCAGGCTGCTGCGTGCTAGACGCGCCGTGAATGCAGTCACGTCGGTGCAGCTCTGGGTGAGGATCAGACAAGTCCTGTCTCAGAATCCAAACCCAGCAGCTGCCCTGCACCCGGTTGTCGGTTGCTTGGTTTAATCCTAGGGGTTTTGTGACAGTAGGAGGATAGTCACTGTGTGTAGTTTGTACACGAGGTGGGTTTCTGGCTGCAGTTACTCAGACCTGCAGATCCATGAATGCCTGTATCTATGCCCTGAGCAGTGAGTTGTAGCGTCAGGCCCCTCAAACAGCGAAGATTTCAGGGACTGGAATGCCTCTTTTGAAGTGTCTGGTAGTAATACCAGCATTCAGTAGCTACCTAGTGAAAGATGAATTCTCTCCAGCTTAGGGATTTAGGAATGCTGCCAACAGATCTTTGAAACAGCTTTTATTTTCCTGTGATATTTAATGGAACTTTGCATGTCAGCATGATCAGCTCAGTGGAACAGAGCTTTATGTCATAATTCCTACAAGCTCAGCTTGCACGCTTATTTGTCCTTTCATGCTTATAATAGGAAGAAGCCATGAGGACAGAGTATATTTTTGCTGGACAAGTGAAAATCAGGCTTAAAAAAATTCCTTGCTAATAGGTTTCAGTAAAGATGTTTGTATTATTTTTTGTATGACGCATAACACTGGGAGCTCACTACATACGTTTCTAGATATTTATTGTGTAGGTATTGTAAGTACATGAAGTATTTACTGGTTTATTCTGTTTTACCTACAAAGAAAGCTTCAAAATGTCTTGATTTGACAGGAGTTTTCAGAATTTGCCCTATGACAGAAGATAATGATAGGTAACTAATAAATATGCTGATGCCCATTCTTCTAGTTGTGGGTTTATTCATACACTGGCTTAATTATGATTCCTCCATTCCTGGGGTGTGCAGGGCAAGAGATGGGCATTGTAGCCTTGTACAGAAGACATGTGATGTAGCAGTTCCATCACATACTTGATAGCCCAGACTAGTGTAGAAATAATGGCACTGAATGTGTTCATTCTTAGTCCAGGTGTCCCCTGCTCAGTTCCTCAAGAATATCCTGAGTCATGGCACAGAGGCTGCACAGGCAGTGCACTGTCTTTTCACAGAGAAACTTCTCTCAGAGCTTAGAGTTGAAGCAAAACACTGCCTCCTGATAAAGCTGTGGACACATAGAACTACACCCCAAAACTGAAGCAGTGCATTCTCATAAAAGCAGAGATTCCTTTTCAGTGATGATGAGCGGGAGGTGGGGTCAGGTGCCGGCCGTGAAAGCTCTGTAGTCGTGGTACCACCCAAGCAGGGATTTACTGCTGCTCCCCAGCATGAAAGCTCGAGTTTCTGCCTCTGCAATCAGTGGCTACTGAAGTCCTTCACAGAGCTAGTATTTTGATACATGTCATGGCATCCCACAGTAGTGGATTAACCACAGAAGGGTAATAATTACCCTCGTGGTGGGATTTAGGACTCTCTGGAGTCAGAGTCCTTTCTGAACACATTCTTCAGTAGTTTGCAGGTCCTTCCCACATTGTTTAGCGTGCTGGGCAGAGTCAGGTGATCCTGCAGTAGATCTCCTGCTTGGAGGTGTGTCTGGATTTCTTTTTAAATGGCCTTCTCGCCTCACTGCATGTTCCCTGAGCTCTTCTTGGATGTATGAGCTGGGAAACATGTGAGACACTGCAGTGCATGCCCAGTGTTGCAGCATTATCTGGCAGAGCATGAGAGAGATTAAAGTGCTTCGTACATTGGGGGAGCCTTCGACAGAGTGGGAGGCTTTTCCTAGGAAGTGGTACATCTCCAGCACTGTGCACTTCCTTCCATGGGCAGTGGAGCGTGGTCCAGGTTAAAATTAAGGATGAAAGACTGCACTTAGATAGATGTTCAGCTGTCTTTCAGACTCCCATCTTCCAGCAGATTCTTCTTTGATCCTGTTCTGCCTTGTGTTTTCTAGTGTAGAGAGTGTCCTTGAAAGCTGTCTTCACACTTCATATGTGAGACCAATCCAGACTAATTTGTGCTTGGTCTGGTAGCTTCCTCGGGAGGCTTTCTCATGATCACTGCATTAAAGACACTGACCTGTTCTGAGTTCTTATGGCAGAACCTCCCTACATACTTAGCAAAAGAGCATCAGTGAGCCCCAGAACCTAAATTCATCCTAAAGAGAGTGTGTTAGTTGTTTTCTTGAAGCTTTTTCTCATGTGGAGACAAAACTTCTGCACTATGAACATGAGATTTTTGAGGAGTGTTTCTCTACAAGAAATCTTTCTTGGGTGTCTGCCCATCATTTTTAGTGACCGTGCTCGTTCTGCCGGGGTCAGGCAGTCCCACTGCAGACATGACCCCTGAGGACGTTTCTATGTGCCGAGATCTGTGTGGCTGCAGTACAGGAGGAGCAACTCTGTGCTTGGATCTGGCCCATCTGCTGAGACAGCTGCAGTAGGGTGCTGATAAATTCACTCGGTGTTCTGCTCAGGGTGAAGCCAGCCCACTGCCAAGATGGGGTTTGCCCTTTGGCTTTCTGTGCAGAGCCTCTCAAAAGGAGGTGGTTGGTCACTGGTGGTTTGGGGTTGCAGCACAGGTCCCTTTCTTCAGTCTTTGCCTGGTAATATGTGAAGTCAGTGTAGCTTTGGCCATCAGCTTCCCTGAGCTTTAAAGCAGATGAGTGAGATACGGCAGCTGCCTGCCTTTCATAGGAAGGGTGTTTGGGATGAGTCTTTTCCTGTTGTTCAGTGACACTTGTTTGGGATGCCAACAGCAATGGTTCAAGACACCTTCTCCTTGGTGTCTTGCCAGTGCTGTTTTCCTTTGGATACTGCCAGTGTTCCTCCTTGAAAAGCACTTGACTCTGGTGAAGCTGATGCAGAGGCCTGGCTGGTTGATGGAGCTGAAGGCAGTAGGGCTGCTTTGGGTTAACAGGAGCAGGTCCTGCACAGAGCCTGCTTAGGCTTGCATGTGCCTGCTCCAGGCTAGTCATCCTCACAGTCTTGCCTTGCCTCACAGAAGGATTGCTGGAGCATTCATATTTCTGAGAAAACTCTGTGATACAGCCGCGGTTAGACATGATTACTTTCTGTTGTCATGAACTGTATCTGTTTCAGGTTTTGTTGTCTTTTTTGCACTTTCAGCATTGCTGCAATACTTTCAACTTAATTTTCTAGAAATAAAAGCTAATCAAATGCTTATTCCCCTCGTGCACCAGTCGTTACAAACATGGCTGAATGTGTGCAACTCTCCAATGATACTTTGAGCATTTAATGAATTGAGCTTTTGGCTTTGAGGAAGTGATCAGCTGTGATTTCTTTGTGATTTTTATTTTTTATTTGCTTTGTTTGTTTCTCTTTAGGGCAGAAAATACCTCTTCGCTGGCTCAAATTCTGGAGTGGTTCAGTCTCCAGTGGCATTCTGTCACAAGTACACCACTTGTGTTGACTGTGTTTTAGCAAGGGATCCTTACTGTGCTTGGAAACCCCTTGAAGCTTCCTGCACTGATATTTTTAAGGAAGGTGGAACTGAAAGGTAATGGTAGCATTTGATGACCTTGCAGTTACAGTCAGTATCGAATCAGTCTTGTCCCTTACTGATAAGTGGAATTTTAAAAAACAAATGTTTTCAAATACAGACTTTTTTTTCTATGATCTGTGTCTGCTAGTGCTGTTGAGATGACTTACTTAGTACAAGGGGATGGGCAGGCTCTAGGAAACAGGATTTGAAGTTTTAATGGCTGGGCTTCCTTTTACAGGAACTGGATTCAGAACATAGGTGGAGATGCATCTTCTTGTTCTGGTGAGTTAGTCTTTGAAGAGCTCTCTCATATGTCTAGGTGGAGTAGTGAAAGAGTTGTGTTTAGTTCAGCTTTGCTTTTGTGATTATCTGAACATGCGTTTACATTCTTATAGGTATGAGATCCTGCTTTTGAATATTGGAGCATCTCTGTACGGCCTGCATGTTGTCTTAAAATGTCTGTGTTTGTGTGCATTTCAGTGTGCAGTGCACAACCCCCCGAAATGAACGGGGGCACCTCAGCAGTGACTTGTGAATGAAAGCAATACCAGAAGTACTTCTATTGCAGAGGCCTCTGTCTCTTTGATGCAGCATTTGACGTTCTACTGTGAGCCTTGACGAGTGCTTGGTTATTGCTGCTAGATCAGATTAATTAAGTCATTTGGGAGAAAAGCTGATTTTACAGTGAGAGGGGAGGGGGAGCTTGGAGCACAGCACAGAGCAGCTGAAGTACCTTCCACAGTGCTCTAAGACAAGTAACCAGTCACAGGTCCTTTCTTTATAGTGTGTGCTGCTGCCACGAGATCAAGGACATCTTAAAGAGGGAGTAGTGTTACAGGAGATTGGAGCTGCGGTAAACAAAGCTCTTAAGAGTTTGATTTACTCCCAAGTTCAGTATCTTGCCTGAATGACTCATCTCAGTTGTGGATCAGAAAGGTCTCCTCTTTGTCTAGAAGTGAAGGCTGTCTTAGAGTTTGAGGTGTCCTATCTCGTAGCCTGTCTGGATGTTTTGCGTGCAGCTGTAGCTTGGTATTCCACTGAGGTTCTTGCATGCTGTCATCTTGGTCTTGTGAGGTGAATGCCATAACCTTCACACTTCCATTAAGACTGTTAACGCAGTCCTGTGAAGCTGTACAGATTAGAGAAACTGGAATCATTGCTGATACTCTGCACATTTATTTTGATGTTCCAGATAAAGTAAGAGAGAATCCCCTACAGCATACATTCAAGCATGGGAGCACAGCAGAGCTCAAGTGTTCTCAAAAGTCCAATCTGGCACAGGTAGTTTGGAAGTTCAAAGATGATGTGCTGAGAGTGGAGAGTCCCAAGTACCGTCTGCTGGAGAAGGCGCTGCTCATCTTCAATTTGTCAGAAGGAGACAGTGGTGTTTACCAGTGTCTGTCGGAAGAAAAAGTGAAGAACAAGAAATTTTCTCAGGTGCTGGCTAAGCACGTCTTGGAACTGAAAAAAATACAGCACACCGTGGCGGGCCCCACCGCGCCGACAGAAGGTAATAGCGATGTGCTCAGAGCGCCAGCCGAGTCTACTGCTCACACCTCGACCCCTCACATGGTACCAGTCACGACAGCAAGGATAGTAACAAAGCCCATTGGCCCTGTCCTGACAAGTGTAGCCTCCAACACCGAGCTCTTCAACTCTATTCCCGACGCGGTCCCGGAGAAGACGATGTTCCTCAAGTCGAACGACAACTTCCTGCTGATGTTCCTCTTCCTCTTCTTTTTCATTCTGTTTCTGTGCCTGCTCTCCTACAACTGCTACAAGGGGTACTTGCCGGGGCAGTGCTTGAAGTTCCGCTCCGTCATGCTGCTCGGTAAGAAGAAAACCAAGTCGGATTTCTCCGACTGCGAGCAGAGCGTGAAGGAGACGCTGGTGGAGCAGGGCAGCGTCAGCCACCAGAGCGGGGAGCAGCCGAAGCCCGCGCACGACACCGGCTACGAGACGGAGCCCGACTGCGGGAACAGCCAGCTGCAGGCCGGGGACTCGCAGGCATCCCGGGAGGCCAAGGACAAACCCTTCGACGTCAAGTGTGAGCTCAAGTTCGCGGACTCGGACGTGGAAGGGGACTGAGCGAGGGACGCGCGCCGTGGTCCCTGTCGAAGCGCGGGCAGCCAGAGCGGGGTTCTCGTGCTTAAGCTGTACAGCAAGCCCGTTTTTTTTGTCCAGATCTCAGCAGATTAGAGAAGTGGTGTTCTTGTCTGGAGACCATGGCATCTTGTGTTGTACTGTCCTTTTTTTTTTTTTTTTTTTTTTTTTTTAAATGGCCAGTTTCAGATCACCACTTGTTTATTCCCAGTTTTTCCCCCCCCCCACACTGAGCGCTTTGCTCTAGTGAAGCTACTTGCTTGTTCTTTGGCCATGTTCTTCCATAGAGTAAAAGTAACTTTCTAATTCAGTTGGCTTTAAAAAGTACTTCAGTCTACACACATTTTTTAGTTGCCATTAAAAAAAAGACCTAGTTTCATTTTAATTCCAAATTGGAAATTGAGTTTAGTTTATCAGATTGGTAAATTATAGACTTTTGTCCAGATTGGGACATTTTTTTCTTTGCTTCTAGTGATTATTTTTAGTTTTATGCTTTGTGTTTTGTCACACTAGATCTCTTTAGTTGGTTAAAGTTAATTTTTTTAACTACTTTTTAAGTATCTTAGATTTTAAGGTACAATGGGGATAGCATTGCCTTGATTTGTGTAAGACTCAGGGATAATCTTGTTTAAAGGTTTTTTTCTTTGCTGCTTTCTAGAAATGTAGGTACAACAATATCAGTACAAAACATGGAGTAAGTGGGGAATGGGGAAGGAGGAAATAAATGCTTTTCTTTCTTTGTTTTTGTGTTTTTTTTTTTTCCTCCCCCCCACCAGCCAGAAAGCTGGACATAGTGATGTTTTATTTTCTATACAAAACTGGATTTTTTTTTTCTTTAGTTAATGAAACAGTACAGGCAAGCAACTGTCAGTTAGCAGTGACAAGGAAAGAGTTTTGTTGCGTTGTGGAAGCAAAAGAGGAATTAAGAAGAATTAATTCCAACAATTTCATCTGATGACTCTCTGAAGTGGACTGTAAGAACTCAGCCTGATGAGAAAACGTTGCCGATTTTATTTCTTCTTCTTTTCAGATTCAGAAATAACTCAGCTTCTTTTTGTGACAAATCTTTGCAGCATCACCCTTTCTGGATGATACCTTCCACTCTCCTATGCAACTGGAGACTGAAACTGGAGCTGCTTAAAACAATCAGTCCTTTGAACTGTTTATGTGAATCATGCCTGCTGACGTGAAAGTGTGCATTTGTTCTCAGCCTGGTTCACAGCAGCACTGTTTGTCTGTAAAAGCATTTTGTGTGCAGTAACAGTCCTGAAGAATTGTTCCTCTCACTGCATCTTTCTGTAAATATTGCTAGAAGTAGAATTTGTTTTACCAGTAAACAGCAGAATGCCTGGGCTGCTTTTCTATGTTGAACTTCCATGCGAACATATTTTAGACCATCTTAGTGTAAACAGTTTATATTTTATAAGATTCAGTTTGGTTTTATTTTTCTATTTTTAATTATGTACATATAACAGAATAAATATTAAAATAAATTGTATTATTTATGAAACGTTACACCATGACACTGCTTTCCATTTGGCAAGCCCCGATGTTCCTTGTGGTTTCCTTCAAGGGGAAAATAGAAAACTTTTTTGTGATTGATTTGAAACAGCCTCTCGATTTCAATTAAACAGGTTATAACCCAGGGTGGAGGGATTGGAAGGATGGGGGGGAAAAAAACATGGGTGAAGGAGGAAAGTGCTTTTCTCTAGGGGCCAAGGGACACTTCCTCGTACTACCTTTCTAAAATTCATTTGTCTTTTTGCATTATTTCTTCGTTGTGTGATGTATTTCTTACAACTTTTTTCCTCAGTACCCTTTTACTTTCTTTTCTGTCCTCTTCTGTCACGCAGCCTCATCTCCTATACCTTTCCCTCCTACTGGTACCTCCTTTTTGTCCTGTGTGGGACGTGGTTCACCTCCTCCACCCACCAGTACCCAGCCTGATGTTTGGTCTAGCCCAGACCCCATAAAGGTCATGTTGTTGCCACCTTTCCTAAGTGACCAGACACAGCATGTCAGTGTCCGGGGACCCTTCCACCTCTTCTGCCAAGCCACAGGTAAGCTGGAGCACCCCTGTACGAGCCAGCCCTGTCTGCATTAAAGGCTTAGCCATGTCACCATGTACTGTGTACATTTTACTTCCCTGATGCTGGAGAGGGGGGGCAGAGGGGGAGGGAAAAGAGGGAAATTTCAGAGTGCCAACGTTGCTGCTGCCGAGGGTCAGTCACTGCGGGTGCTGTACCGTGCTGGGGGGGCTCTGATGTGGCAGCTTCAGTGTGGAAATTGTCAATTGATTGGTGTTTTTTTTTTAATTAGGCTCAGTGGATCAGGATTGCAGAAGGATGTTTAGCAGGTAGATGTTTTCATTGTCAGCGTGTAGGCAATTTAAAAAAGATACACTTGAGTTGGGTTTGAATTTGGCGTATTTTATGGGCCAGGTCGGTGATTCCTTTCTCACCTTGTTTTAAATGGTGAAGGATTTGGAGTAACAACAAATTCCATTTTATGGTGGATGTATTATCTGAGGGGAGGAGAAGGAAAAAGCTGTTTTTTCCATAGAAATTCAACCCTTATCTTCCAGCTTTTGTTTGGATTGTTACAAATTACAGTTTACTGGTTTAAGCTAAATGTGATTTAATGGATCTAAACAGGTCTTTGGATGTAACCTTGTTCCTTAAAATTAGAGATTATATAGATTAAGGGATTTTTAAAAGTAGCATTGTTTCATATTGGTCTCAGTGTGATTATTGTCTGGAGTAGATCAAAATGCATAAATTAGTGTAGATCTTAACAAAGGCATTATTTTTATTTCCATGGCTAAAAAGAACAACAGTGGGATGAAGGTTCTTTCATAGAATGGAATAATTTAGATTGAAAAAGACCTTTCAGCAATAATTTGTTCACTTTTTCTCTAGACAATTCAGAAACCTCACTGTGCAACATGAAAAAAAGTTGTAATAGCATAAATAGCACAAAAGATTTAAACAGACCTGGGATTTATTTTAAAATTACTCTTTCTTTCATCCAGCAGTGCCTGTGTTTTAACATGATGCTCATGCTGCTTTTGAAAATTGTCGTTAATTGTATTTGCCTTGGCAGTGAAGGAAGGAGCAGTGTCCTGAAGTCAGCCCTGTGGGATCCACTCCTCAGGAGGTGTAGGGGGTGCATATTGGAAGAAAGTGTCACAACCACCTGACATCCAAGAGATGGCAGAGGTGGCACAGGCAGGGCCAAGATGCCCCAGCTGTGGAAGCGCTTCTGGTTCATCTCAGGAAGCAGTGAAAGACCCAGCTTTGTGTTACAGATGGGGGATTTGCTCCCCTTGGGAAACGAGGCAATTGGCTGATACATCCACACCCTTTTCATCCCCAGAATGACAACTGTAGTCTGTTGATATAACAAAAAAAACCAAAAAACCACCCAACAAACAAAAACTCCTCCCACACACACCCCAAACCAACAAATGCAAACCATCATACTGAACTGATGCAGATATTTTGCATCTCTCTGCATGTGAGGATGGATGTGATGAATGATGCATTTATCCTGAGTGGGGGGTGGCTAAGCAAGTGCTCTTGCTGGGAAGGTCTCTGCTTGGATTTATTCACGTTTCTTCAGTGTCTGTTGATACTTCTTTATATGAACATATCTGTAATGGAACTCTTATTTCCCTCAGCTATGAATACAAGGAAAAATGTGTTTACAAGGAGCAGAAGGGTTAAGTGAGACTGGCAGAGAGTTAAATGTTGTGCCTGGTTGTCTGCATATAAAGGATATGGTATCAGCCATACGATGCAGATACATAGGCTGTGACATCGTCCAGTCAAAAGCCTCAAGCTTATTTTGAAGTGAGTTTCTAATGTTAAATTGTGAGAACTGGTGAATCTCTTCCTTTTTTTTTTTTTTTTTTTTTTTTTTTTTAAATTGTGAATGTCTTGCTGAAGAATAAGGAATAAATCTGCCTCTACAGCTTTTCTCCCCCTTCATTTCCCTCTGCTCCCCTGAAGAGTCCCATGTTTCTCCAGAGACCTGCCCGGTGTTTGTTCACGGGCAAACATCAGGCTTCCTGCGTACTTCCTCTGCTAGAGTTTTCTCTCCCACCACAGGATTTTTAAGCCCTCTACAAGCATTTTAGGCGAGCTTCAAATAAATTCAGTGAAATACTACACCATCTGGTTCAGGGAGGGAGAGAGAGCTGATGATGTGTTATGCACCTGCTTTACAGATTGATCTGGCGTGGTCTGTTGAAATTAGGTACAGTAGGAAGAGGCTTTTCCCAGCAGTTTTGTTTCTGCTTGGAGATGCTTTATTGACACCTCCTCCTCCAGTATTAGAGTAGTATATCCATGTTTGTAGCTTTTTAGACAAACAGTTGTGCTGAGCAGCCATTTAAATGCTTTGGTAGTAAGACACGCTGCAAAACCCCGTGCCTCGTGTGAACTTCTGCCCTGGAGATTCAGACTCTCTGTGTCTGGTCCCCTGTCTCCCTTAGTTCGTCTGCAGCTGGAGGTTTTACGTCATGGATTATTTTCAGTCTTGGTAAGATAACCCCAGAAGTGTGAACAATAAAAGTTCTGTGAATGTCCTTTAAAGCAGTTGCTTTTTCACGGAGCTGCTGAGATGGGTGTCTGATAACACCCCCACACAGTGCCTGTTCCCTGTGGTTATGCTACTTTAAAGGGAGTGCCAGGAAGCTTCCCATCCACGGAGGAAAAGATCTGTAACTCCCAAGAATCAGAATCACAAGGGGTTCAATAGAGGTTTCTCTCTCTCTTTGGTGAAGCCTGAAGTTGCACTGAAAAGGCACGCAGGGGGCGGGGGAAATACCAAATGCAGTGCACTGCACTTCACTGAGCACTGCTGCAGGACTCAAGGGGCCTGCAGAGTGAGTGTGAAAGAGACCCTGCCCCTCCTGTGTCCAGGAGCCCGAGGGCTGCCCGTGCTGCTGTCTGGTCACGGGGCTCAGCAGAAGGGTCTCAAAAGCCCTGATAC